GCACTTGCTGTTGCAGGTGCCACGGCTTTTCACCCGGTTCAGCCAACACATTTGTGTCCTATGATCTGGGTGGTTTCTTTTGTTGCTTCTCTATAATAATGTCTTGTAAGGTTCATTGAGTGGTGGCTTTAGGGACTCTAGCACAACTCTTTATATCACCCCAGTCCACTTCCAGTGGTGTTACACACACTCCCTGTGGAATGTAAGAACTTTATGACAATTACCACTCACCTCTGCCAGCACCCCAGGATCTGGAGGTCATGGTTCTGGCTATGTGCTGTTTCTTCTTCTTCTTCTCCTCCTCCTCCTCCTCCTCCTCCTTCTTCTTCTTTTTGGTTTTTCGAGACAGGGTTTCTCTGTGAAGCTTTGTGCCTTTCCTGGAACTCACTTTGTAGACCAGGCTGGCCTGGAACTCACAGAGATCCGCCTGGCTCTGCCTCCCGAGTGCTAGGATTAAAGGTGTGCGCCACCACCACTTGGCATGCTGTATCTTCTACCTTACTAGTGTCTGCTTTAAGTAGCCGATCCCCCCCCCTCCGTGTGTGTGTGTGTGTGTGTGTGTGTGTGTGTGTGTGTGTGTGTGTGAAAACACACTTACAAAAGTTATATCTCAACCATCTAAACTGATGATACTGAAACTGTTTCACAGAATCTTTATTTTCCTCCTCCCCAGCGTCTCCAGCCCTCATTTCCCTCATTTTACTTTCTGTTGGACAAACCAACCCCTCTAGGAACCTCACAAAATTAACCTTGGACACCATGTGTCCTTTGGTGACTGGTCTCGGGTGGAGACATGACTTGGCTGCTGACGGTGGCCTCAGGAGTTCTGCCCTCAGGGACCTCTACTCAGAGGAAGCAGGCCCTTGATTAGATGCAGTAAGGAATTTCAGGCCTGACAACTTACTAAGCCCAGTAATTCCAGCACTTTAGGAAGTGAGGCAGGAGGATCGGAAGTTCAAAGTCTTCTGCTACATTTCAGAATGGAAGTCAGCTTTGACTGCATGAGCTCCTGCCTCAAAGAAAGAAAGAAAGAAAGAAAGAGAGAGAGAGAGAGAGAGAGAGAGAGAAAGAAAGAAAGAAAGAAAGAAAGAAAGAAAGAAAGAAAAGAAAGAAAAGAAAGAAAGAAAGAAAGGAGAGAGAGGGAGAGACAGAGAGACAGAGACAGAGATATTATTAAGTAGAGATAGACGTAGTACAAGCTTTAGTTTCAAGTATGAGTGTTGTAAAAGACCTCAGAGAGTCTTAATATCTTCATATGTGAACTTGTTGGTTTTTAGAGTTGTATTACTCAAAAGACATAACGTATGACTAGGTTAAGAGATAAGCAAAGTTTAAAAATTAGGTCACATTTAAAGGTTAAGTAAAAACAAATTAAGAAAAAAAACAATCAGCAGGTTTACCTGTTTGCTTAAAGAATTTCCTTTGGTGACTGAGTGGTAAGGTGGCTTAGGAGGTGCATTGTTTAAGTTTAGGGATAAGAGAGGGGCGCTGATAGGTCAAACCCAAAGGTCACCTTCTGGTCCTAAGCAAGCAGATTCATTTGTTGTAGGCAATCTTGTCAATTGTGTTGAAGTTTCTTGACTCTGAGCCTGCCGGAAACGTAATCAGATTAAAAGCTCAGGTGTTTCTTCCCTTCTCATGTCCCCTGAACTTTGCTGCTTTCCTATCTTTCTTAGCTAAGTGTGGTGGCCTGCACCTCTAACCCCAGCACCTGGGAGGCCAAGGCAGGGTTACTGCAATTCCAGACAGCCTGGGCTACAGAGTAACATGTTATTTCAAAGAATCAAAACAGCAACAACAAAAGAATTTAAATTCTTTTTGGAAACAGGGTCCCAAGTTGCCCAGGCTGGCCTCAAACTCACTATGTAGTGAGGATGACCTTGAACTTCGGATCCTTCTGCTTTTACCTAACTGCTGGGATCACAGCCTTCATCACCACCCCTGGTTTTACGTGGTACTGGGGACGGAACCCGGGGCCCTGTGCATTCGAGGTCAGCCCCCTGCCAACTGAGCCACATCCCCAGGCTGGTTTCTTTCATTGGCCAATCACTATTCAATATGCTCTATGTATTCTCAGGTAGTCCAGCCTGGCCTTGAACCTGCGATATAACTGAAGACAACCTTGAACTTTTATTGCTTTTCTTTTTTTCGAGACAGGGTTTCTCTGTGTAACAGTCCTGACTGTTCTGAAACTTGCTTTGTAGACCAGGCTAGCCTTGAATTCACAGAGGTACACTTAACTCTGCCTACCAGGTGCTGGGATTAAAGGCGTGTGCTACCACCGCTCAGCTTGGCTTTGAACTCTGATCCTCAGTATTCCACCTCCCAAATCCTGGGATTGTAGGCATTCACCACCATACTAGGTTTAGAAAATTTTTAAAAATAATTTTTGCACTAAGAAAAAGATTTTACGGGCAGTGTGGTGGCTCAGTGGGTAGAGGCATTTGTTTGATCCCAAACCCATCGTGGTGGAAGGAGAGAACTGAGTCCCCCAAGGTGTCTTCTGAGTAGCAGGTGTGTGTCTACATACTTATAAGTAAATGGAAAACAAAAGAAAAGAAAATAAAGGAAAAGAAAAGAAGAAAAGCACGGTACATTTATCAGCTAAGTCCCACACTGGGGATATGTTGTCTGGTACCATTTCCTTCTGCGCAGAGGACTCTGGTAACAGACCTGGAAGCGAATGACCTGGCAGAGAATTCCTTCAGCACCACATGTGGCCCTAAGCAGTGCGGTCCTGAATATGCCAGGCTGAAAGTGATAATTGAAGTAAGAAAGATGTCAGGCACATTTTGGGGCAGGGAACATGTGTTTGAAAGGTTAAAGTGGTGGACAGGAATGCCTCTAGGCATGTTCAGCTTGCACACAGGTTTAGCTAAAAATAAATAAAGGGCACTTTGAAGGTGTATTGAACAGCCTGCCCCTGAAGCGCCAACTCACTTAGAGGCTGACAGTTTCTCGTAGTCTACTGGTCATCGACACTTGTTTCCGATGACTGTGTGCATCACTCTTACCTTCGTTTCTTTATGTGAAATGGGTCACGTGGCTCAGCTTTTAATGGTTTCATCTTTTTCTCTGGTTTTAAGCAAT